TCCTTGTTAGTATAATCTCTTTGTATAAGTTCTGATTGATTTATTTAACATAATCTCTTTTTATAATCAGGACTAAACCCCAACAATTAATATACGAAGTAGCCCCCCATTCCGCTAAGATAGTAAGATTGTCTCATCTTCCATTTTTGATCCGCCCCACTAACATTGTCATATATCAAATTTAATAAAATTTGCTTGTTTCTAAGTCGTTATTCGTTATTATTTTATTATTACTTTATCAATTCAATATCAATAATATAAATTCACTTTTTTGTTAATAGTACGACCTACTCATGTCTAATATTATTGGGATGGAGGTACTATTAACATAAATCGGGATTATGTTATTACTACGTATAACATAAATCTGGACTAATGGCACAAAACATAAGTCTGGACTAATGGTACAAAACATAAATCTGGACTCCAATTATTTGTCCAACCCATATATTTCCGGCCCAATCATAACCGCATGTCCGTAAATCACAAGCCAGGGTACCTCACTTCACTCTCACATTACACCATGACAACTCTGGAACTCTCGAGAGCTTGCCACACTTCTTCCTCCTCATACACACATCTGGCCTCACACACTCTCATCACCTCCATAGCAATAAGTCTGGTTCCAAATCTCTGCCACCCATCGTTTGCGGTCGACATTCCGGCTAATATCCAGGGGATCGTCGTGGTCTCTCCATTCAGGTTTCACACCCTGGCTTGGGATTTTTTTACAAACAATTAATGTTATACTATTTCATTACAGAACAATGTATATATATCATATTTATTATCTAGACCTAAAGTTTACCATCTTCTTTAGAAGTAATATATTTTAAAAATCAAAACACCCTTTGTTATAATTGTTTATAATCATTCTTAGCAATTACTTCTTCTGATTTCCTGCTTATCTTATTTGATTTGATTATATTTAAAACTAAAGTTTTCTTTGATTAAATATAATCTCTTTGTATAAGTTCTGATTGATTTATTTAACATAATGACTCTTTGCAAGTATTCTTATAATTGCCCCATATATAACTTATAAAAATTTACCTTCTGAAATTCTGCTAAATGCTTGTTAGGGTGGAGTTCTACCTCTGTACACTTTTGGTTTTCAAAATTGAACTACGGCAACATGAAATCTGGGTATTTCTTGGTGCATGTCTTCTGACTGTCATGTAACAGAGAGTAAAAGACAACTTGAATATATATAACCCAAGATCTGAAATTATCTGTTAAATATTTATTACCCAGGATATTCTAGTACCACGTCACAAACTCCAGTGGCCTCAGTAAGTGAATTAATTTGATGCTCCCAATATCATCTAAAGTAATAATTTCAATTTAGATATGCTCATTCATTATAACTATATGCAACAAATAGAGAAAATACAAAACACCCTACACAACACCCACCAAAAAGGTGGGTTTCATCCACTTTGGTTGCATAAGCAAGACACTTAAATGGGCTAATGTTCTTGTGTTAGTTAATAATTACATTCGATTACATTTGTGTACCTTAAAATCGTGGAAAACGTACTCTGAAGTGTGTCACATTCTTGTTATTGTAGGATGACAAATCGTCAGCACGAAAGAGGCGAGGCCTTAAGGAAGGATTTTTCCTAGATTTATTAATCTCTGAAACTTCCTAGATTTAAGTGTAACAGAAGAGCTATTATTAACCTTCACGAACAGGGATAGAATGTCTGAATTGGGATTTTTTCTTACACACTTACCTTCTAAAAGTCTCACCGAACAGTAATTAAATTTATTGATGAAGCAAATATTTAAAGAGTTGTAGGCAGTTTTGGCAGCCCATGATTTTTGAACGTGTGTAGTTTGTTTTCCCATGATGTGATAGAAACTGCCATGTGTATGTCATATGTTGGTTTACCTGTTTACGTGTCTCAATATGTAATAACAATCAGTGAACATTTTATTTTTTTATTATCTTTTAGCCTGAATCACGTGTACACACTTAGACAGTTAGACGGACCACGCATAGCCTAAAATGGAATCAGACGGGAACAATTATTTTCCCAGCTGATTCCATTGTTATATATATAAAGATATGGAAGGGACTAAATATCAAATTAAATGATTTAAATTTCTAAAAAAATAAAAATAATTGCACCCTGCCATGAAGTAAGAACAGACCGAAGGTGAATGAATAGCCAGATTCAAAACGGAAACTGGACAAGCTAAGTGTAAGGATTGTGGCGTGTGAATGATAGTGCATGGAGTATAACTTATCTTTATTTATAAAAATGTTACTACGTGGTAAATAGTAAGCCAGGTTTAAATTAACTATATAAGATAATTAAATAAATCTTTTATCCAATTGTAAATTAAACTACAATTGTCAATTAACAAATTTACGTTAGAATAGTGAGATAGTTATCACAAAAAAAATTATTTTTTCAATTTTTACCAGTCTTAATGAATAGATTGTTCATTGTTGAATAAAGCACTTTTATCTGGCCGTTCAAGTATAAATATGTCTTATAGACTTGTAGTACTTCAATGCCTAAGTAATTTTGATGACTAATTTGAGTAATAGAATCGATGACTAATGTGTTTTTTAGTTACTGTCTGGTTTGTTTATAGAAGGAGATTCATTTCATAGTTACAATTCACAATTGAAACTTTAATAAACCACAATAAAAAGATGAAAACCAGAAGAAAGAAATTGTGATCAACTTTATTCTGGATTTTTTATATTGTTATATGCTTTAAATTTATTTAGTTTGAACCAATTCTCATGTATCGTAGAATAAACGTTAACATAGAACAAATACTCTAATAGTTAGAAAACACAACAAAAAAAGTAAAAAAAATAAAACATTTTTGCTATTCGTCCTAATATACTTAATTAATGTTTTTCGAGACAGCGGAGACGCTTTTTTCCGTAAACGTTCTTCATTTATTATTCTGCCCCAATAACTTTTATTTCTGGATCCGCCACTGTCTCTGTGTATTTTATAATTATGCAAGTTTGGTCTGATATATTCTGGTCGGGTTGGGGACTGAAATAATTCAAACAAAAACATCCTTACTTGTAGTTTTTCAGGAGTGCGGAGCATATGCCATAGAGTACATTTCAACTTTGGATAAGTTTTGGGGTGTATTGACGTTCTCTAAGGTGGCAAAAATATTAAAAGCCCGTTTGGTGACTTGAATTGATTTAATTTGTTGAAATTGATGAAATACAAATTGAATTTGTTGAATTATGGATATATTATATTTAAAATATACTTTATTCATAAAATAAAAAATAATTATATGAAAATAGCTAAACTGTCCTTTAATTCAGCTGGAAAAGTAATTTGGATCTTACTTATTTAGTTATTACACGTTTAAGTGTGTGATATTATAAGTTACGTACGGAGTATTTGGTAAAAAAGTTACGGAGTAGTTTTTTAAAAAAAATAACAAATCATACTATCATGCGAAATTTCCACAAATTCACAGTAAAATCAAACGGTAAAAAGTTAGTTAATAAGCTGAAGTTAAGGGTTATTAATCGGACTCACAATACAATATTTGTTATTTGTTGCTTTTTTCACTTCTTTTTTAATTTACATTTTAGGCAACAACATGAATGGATAACAAATAATGCAAAAGTTAAATTAATTGATGAATTTTATGAAGTCATATCTAGGGGTGGTTCGGTACGGTATACCGAATATTTTCTCCCATACTTTTGTCGTATCAAAACTTTTGGTATACACAATTTATATATCATTACCTTACCGAAGTTTCGGTATACCCCATTTCGGTATACCAAAGTTTCGGTCTGGTAACAGTACGATATCGGTAAATTACCATGCATGTCCCGTAATACAACAAATTATCATAGACTAACAACATATACTAAATCGATGTGTTACTAGCGACATATTTATTCCATTATTAAAATGTTACAAAATACAATTAATAATCTATTAATGTCATATTCGATATTCAACCATAATTATTATTAATATATTTAAGCAGTTCAACATGCCATGTATTAAAAAATAACACATTCTCCTAAAATAACTTGAACAATGTAGATATAATTAAATGAATAGTGATCTCTAACAAAAATAAATAAAATTATTCAAACAAGATGGATATAAAAACATGTATCCCTAACATGATATTGTGTATCTAGTCATTTTTTTAATTTTTTAAAAAATATTTGAATAAGACTTTCAGGCATAATTGTGTGCTTCGAGTCGTGGAATATATCCATATGTGGATACACTCGTCACATAAGTGTATCCCTCTTCACACGTTATCTACTCAGCGGCTCAATCGCTCAGCCATCGTGACTCACAAGCTTATGGAACATGATGAATTGGTTTGGAGATTAGTACATTATTCATTATTCATTAGGCTTAGTTTGTTTGAAGGTTACGTAATAGAAACCTAGAGATTATAGTGAGTTTGGAAAATTGGGCCTTTGTTTTTGTATTTATTATTTGTAATCAACATAAGTATTAATTTTGGGCTTCAAAATTGCAATGGACTCTTACAATATTTTAGAATTTAACGTAACTGTTGGGTAAGGAGTCAGTACGGTATTATACCGGTATACCGCGGTATTTGAAAACATTTATCGTTACCGTACCAAAATAAATCGATACGGTATGATACCTATATTCCGATATTTTTCGGTATTTTTCGAACTATAAGTGTGGTATACAGATTTTCAGTATTTTTGCCCAACCTAGTCATATTCTTAACGACTCAGGAGATGTTTGGAACTGATTCTGCTTTCGCTTCTTTTTTAAAGCAGAAGCAGAATCATAATCAGTTTTCAGAAGCTGCTGACCCCAACTTCTTAAAAAACTGATTCTAGGAGTAAATTAGAGCACCAAAATCAGTTCTGCACTTTCACCCAAACAATCAAACCCTCCGGAGCAGAAGCAGTTTTAAGAAACTCCCTGAAGGAACAGAAGCATTTTTAAGAATGCAACCTCAACCAGCTTCATTAGTATCTGTCAGACAAATTACCCAAATCTGGGTAGGGGATACATTTGATTCGTTTAAAGATCCGTAACCATGTCCGACGACTCGACTGAAACCCGTCAATTGGACTTAGCTGGGCACGAGTTACCCTCCGGTGCCATCAACATCAATGACAATGAGGGCAATGCCAATAGCCCCAGCTCAGTTTCTGCCATGGGTGAAGCCCTATCCGCCTTGATTTCCTCTGTGATTAGGGAATTCGACGGCAGAGCTGACGCGACTTCCCGCAGTCAAGAGCAACTCTCTTTCTCCCTCGATCGTCTCAGCGGAGGTTTAGTTATTCACCCTCATCTCATAATAGAGTACGTCTTTTTTGCAATTAGTGCCAATTCTGTATTATTTAGCAGATGCACTTGTGCTTTGATGATACAATGCAGGCTACCTATTGTGATGTATAGAATTAGGCAACGAGAATTGTATTGATCGAATGAGTAGAGGAGATAGTTTCAGAGAGAATGGGGAAGAAGAAGTTTATTATTCAATGTCTGAAAAATACAGAGAGTATTACATGAAGTATATAACCAGTTCGGATTTACAAGGACTAACTAACACAATTTACTTCTAACAACTTTCACACGTGTCCTTTTATTAACAACACAGCATGTAACAATACAACTCCATCTCTCCGTTAAGCTTGAGCTGAGCTGGTCCTTTAATCCAACTGCATCAATACTCCCTCCTTCACTATTGACTTGTCCTCAAGTCACTGAAGCATAAAAGGTAGGATACAAAGCCTTGATAGAATCTGACCACTCCCAAGTTGCCCCTCCTTCTCCTGGCCCTTCCATTGGATGAGAAACTTGACTCTTGCTGAATTTCCATGTTTCACCAATTGTCTTTCCAATACAGCCATAGGCTCCACCACAGTCTCTTTTGCTAACCCATGTAACCACTCTGGTATATGAGGCTTAGCTGGCAGTTGCCCCCTAAACTTCTTCAACTGAGACACATGGAAAGTATTATGAATTTTAGCTTCAGCTGGCAAGATTAATTGATAAGTCACTTTTCCTACTACTTTGCTTATCTGAAATGGACCATAAAACTTTGGGGACAGTTTCTCATTGCTCCTCAATTCCACTGAATTCTGTCTATAAGTTTGTAACTTCAGCCAAACCCAATCTCCCAACTCAAATTTCCTTTCAGATCTATGCTCGTCAGCTTGTACCTTCATCCTATTTTGTGCCTTTTCCATCTGAAACTTCAGCATCTTAATCATAGCCTCCTTTTGCTGCAATGATCTGTCAACTGCCTCCACCTCAGTTTCCCAGGCAAATATGGTAAATGTAGTGGTGGAGGTTGATTATACACAGCCTCATAAGGAGTCATCTTAATGGATGAATGAAAAGAAGTGTTATACCACCATTCAACCAATGGTATCCACTTGCACCACTCATTTGGTTTTTCATTGCACATGCATCTTAGATAGTTTTCAAGGCATCTATTGACTACTTCAGTTTGGCCATCTGTTTGTGGATGAGAGGAAGTAGATAACAACAAATCTACCCCTTGTATAGTGAAGAGGGCATTCTAGAAAGTACTGAGAAATATGGAACCCCTGTCACTTACAATAGTTCTAGGCCATCCATGCAATTTAAACACATTATCAAGATAAATCTGTGCTACCTCAATTGCTGAAAAGGGGTGTTTGAGTGTCATGAAATGAGCATATTTGCTCATTCTGTCAACTACTACAAAAATAGCATTTTTACCACAAGATTTAGGCAATCCTTCAACAAAGTCCATAGATATATCCATCCACACTTCTTGAGGAATAGGAAGAGGCTGCAATTTACCCGGGTAGGCTGCATTATCATATTTACAGGCTTGATACACTATGCAAGCCCTTATAAAGGCATGAACATATTTGTTGATTCCCTTCCAATAGAATATTTGGCGTATCCTTTGAATAGTTGCATCCCTTCTTGAATGACCTCCCATAGCTGAACTATGTGCCCAATGCAGTACTTTCTTCCTTACCATATCATCCTTCCCTATGACAATTCTCCCTTTCTTTCTTATCACACCATCCACCCAAGCATATGAGTCACACCTCATGTTAGGACTAGCCTCCAATTTGATAATTAACTTCTGCATATCTGCATCTCCTTGATAGCTTCCCTTGACTAACTCCAATAAACTTGAATCAATAGAAGACAATGCCAAGCATAAAAGTTCAGCTCCCGTCACCCTAGAGAGAGCATCAGCCACTTTATTTTCCAGCCCACTCTTGTATTGGATTTCATATCTAAAACCCATTAATTTGGACAACCAAAGTTGTTGAAAGGGAGTAGACACCTTCTGCTCTAGCAACCATTTCAAACTTTTTTGATCAGTTTTGATAACAAAGGTCTGACCAAACAAATATTGTTACCACTTCTCTACTGCAAACACCAATGCCAGTAACTCCTTCTCATATACAGATAACTTTTGCCATCTCATTCCCAAATCTCTACTAATAAAGGCTATAGGATGTCCCTCTTGCATCAACACAACCCCTATACCATTATTAGAAGCATCAATTTCTACAACAAACTGTTTATCAAAATTTGGCAATGCCAACATTGGTGCAGTGGTTAAGGCTTTCTTAAGTCCCTCCAAAGCCTTAGTTGCTTCATCATTCCACTGAAATAGACCTTTCTTTAACAACTCAGTAAGTGGTTTAGAAATCAGTGCATAATTCCTTATGAATCCCCTGTAATAACCAGCTAAACCTAAGAAACTCCTGAGCTGTTTTAAAGAAGCTGGAACAAGCCATTTCACTATTGCTTCAATCTTTCTGGGATCTGTTTCAACATCACTACAAAATATATAATGTCCCAGATACTCCACTTTTCTAATCCCAAAAGCACACTTGCTCATCTTAGCATATAACTTGTGTTGCCTCAGTACTTTAAACACTTGTTGTAGATGAATCTTGTGTATCTCCAAATTAGGACTGTATATTAGGATATCATCAAAGAATATCAAGACAAATTTCCTCAAAAATTCCATGAATATATGATTCATGAAAACCTGAAAAGTAGCTGGGGCATTGGTCAACCCAAAAGGCATGACAAGAAACTCAAAATGCCCACAATGAGTTTTAAATGCTGTTTTGTACCCTCAACTGATGATACCCAGCTCTCAAATCAATTTTAGAGAAGATCTGTGCTCCTGATAATTCATCAATCAACTCCTCTACTACTGGAATAGGAAATTTATCCTTAATAGTCTGATTGTTCAAAGCTCTATAATCAGTACACATTCTCCAATCTCCATCTTTCCTTCCCACTAATACCACTGGTGAAGCATAGGGTGAAGCACTTGGTTGAATGGCATCTTTCTGCAGCAACTCCTTAACCTTTTCCTCAATTATGTCCTTCTGTTTTAGTGGATATCTGTAAGGTCTCACATTCACAGGCTGATCTTCTGGAATAACATGTTTTTTTGAATCATGAACCATGTTAATGCCAAAATGTGTTTCCACCTGCTCCTCTTTGTTATCAACATCTTGACTGTGACATTGAATCATATATATTTGATTGATCTGTTTCATCTATTTAGTTGTTCCTTGCATTGCTCTCACTTCCCCCTTTTTCTGTCCTCTTAGCACCACTTTATGTCCCTTATGTTCAAACTTCATGCAATCTTGGAAATTCCAATTAATTTCTCCCAATGTACTCAACCATTGTACTCCCAATACCATGTCATAACCCCCCAAAGGTAACACCAATATATCTCCTGTGAAGAAGGTATTCTGCATCTTCCATGTGAAATTTCTGCAAACGAAGTTACATTCTGTATGGGATCCATCTGCCACTGCTACAGTCATGGTATCCACTATATGTAACCTACATCCCAATTTCTTAGCCATATTCAAGCTTAAGAAATTGTGTGTACTTCCTGAATTTACCAAAATCAGCACCTTCTTCTTATCCACATAACCAGTCAGCCTCATGGTTCTATAGTCTGAATAACCATTCATGGCATGAAAAGATATTAGTGGCTCCTCCTCCTGCATAACAAACTCACTGATGCTTTCCTGCCCAACATTTTCCTTTTCTGTACTCCCCTCAATTTGTACCAAAAACAACTGTGTACCCTTGTGACTGCAAACATGCTCCTTGCTATAAGGTTGATCACAATAATAGCACAGTCTTTTAGCTCTCTTTTCAGCCCTCTCATTAGAAGATGCAAATTTCCTCGGTGTTGGAACAGTAATGTTTTTATTCTGAGGGAGTTTAACATTTGGAAGAGGTGTAGGAAGTATAGGTTTATTCACACTCAGTTTCTGTGAACTACCAGCTTTAGTTTGCATAGTAATAGCTTCCACTGTATCTTCCTGAAACATGGCAAATTCTATGGCTTCTGCCATATTCTTAGGAATAAAAGCCTTGACAAAGGATTTTAGTGTAGGCTTTAGAGCAGCTAAAAAGCAGTCCAAGAAATAACTTGCCGGCAATTTAGGATTTCTCTGAACCATTGCAGCCTTAAGGGATTCAAATTCATCTATAAAAGTTTCAAGAGATCCTGTTTGCTTCAATGTATTGAACTTCTCCACAGTTTTAGTGCTCGAATTGTCATTGAATCTAGCAGTCAGGTCTCCTATAAATTGCTTCCACTTCAAACTTTTATGAGATGACACATAACTACCAAACCAACTAGCAGCTCTTCCTTCTAAGTAAGCTCTTCCTTCTAAGTATAACGAAGCTAGATTGATCCTTTGTTTGTCAGGAATATTACAAAGTTTGAAATACCTTTCGCATTTTTGGATCCAAAGCTTCACGTTCTGCCCCTCGAAAGTAGGAAATTCTACTTTTGGAATGAATCTGAACGTTTGATTACTACTCATGTGAGATTTATCATTTTCACACTCTTCCTCCTCCTCTGAAGATGCTTCATCATCTTCATCTGATTCATGTTCATCTCCAGAATCTTCGGAATTGGCACTCTTCTTTTTCTTCTGCATTTCTACCACTTTCTTCATGATTTTATTCATCATATCCATCATGCTTTTATTCTGGTTTTCAAGCTTCTAATCAAACTCCATCTGCATGCTTCTCAGAGCTTCATCCATGTCGGAATTAGCATTCCTAGTGGCCACCATGTTTCACCTTTCCGCGAACACTACTGCAACCTTCGTAAGCGAATTCAACTAAACTTTAACAGCCGTAAATGAATTATTGGGATCCAGAATCTCTGATACCAATGATACAATGCAGGCTACCTATTGTGATGTATAGAATTAGGCAACGAGAATTGTATTGATCGAATGAGTAGAGGAGATAGTTTCAGAGAGAATGGGGAAGGAGAAGTTTATTATTCAATGTCTGAAAAATACAGAGAGTATTACATGCAGTATATAACCAGTTCGGATATACAAGGACTAACTAACACAACTAACTTCTAACAATTTTCACACGTGTCCTTTTATTAACAACACAGCATGTAACAATACAACTCTATCTCTCCGTTAAGCTTGAGCTGAGCTGGTCCTTTAATCCAACTGCATCATTTGATTTCGTTTTGATTTGGGCGTTTGGCATATCTGTTCTCGATGAGTCTTTTTTGTTCTCGAACTGCCTCACCAGTGTGACCAAACTCTTATCTCAAGGGGATCCTGACTGAATGTTGTTTTTTCACTTCTTTCTTAAACTGGGGGGTTCGTTAACAGGAACATTTGAAAATGCTTGTTGGCAGAACTTGACAAGCTGTTGGAGGATGTGCCATTCCCTTTCATCATGCAACACGCCGCTAGGATATCTGCTGTTAGAAAGAGAGTCACATCCCTAAATTATGTTTTGAAATCAATACAAAGGCGTGTAGATAATATTGACCGGATGGTTGTGCCCACAGGCTTAACGCATGGTGCGTTTCTTGGCTGTCAACTTTATCATTCCATACTTTCTACCCTGTGTCTTAGTTCTTATGCATAGCTTCAGTTCACTCACTATTTGGGGATAGCTTTACAAGTGAATTGAAGTCTTGGCTTTGATATGTTTGCCTTGACAACTTGGCAACCAGGCATAAAATATGTGCACACCCGATTTCTACTCTGGGTTAGGAATCTGCTATATGTGCTAAAAAGGTATTCATGACAAGGGTATAATTTAGTTACATTTTTAAATTGCAGAAAGAAAGACGGGAGATGATGTGGGACAGCATTGAGATGTCTCATCGCAAAGGTAATCTTAGTTCTAGTGTTCCACGTACTGATGCCAAGCTCTTTCACATTATGTTACTCTTAATAAGGATAAGTGAGCTGTGCAATCGTGTTAGGTTATCAAATACATCATCTGCAGTATTTTTTCGCAATTATTTTTTTTCCCAAGTACTGTATAACATTAAAAAAAACATTTCATCACAGCCTACGTTACGTCTCGTAAGACATAATGAAATGAAATGTTATGTAAAACTGCATTTAAATTATATGCGGTTAGCCGGTTACATTAAGTAAATGCAATGCTTCCCATTCAACTCATGGATTTACACCATAGATGAGTGAATTCCACATTTGAAGGGGAACCTCGTTGCACTAGTGAAGGTCTTGCCGTGTGACCGAGATGTCATAGCCTCACAGGTTCAAATCTTGGGAGCGGCTTCTTGTCAAAATGACAAGGGAAGGCTTGCCCCCTATATACCCTTGCGGTGGGACCCTTCTCCGGACCCTCGCCTTATGGGGATGCCAATGCGCACAGGGCTGCCAAAAAAAGAGGCAATTCCATTTCTTTCCTTCGAATTTCAGAGGAAGAAATTATTGGTGTTGTTCTTTAATAGATTAAGTAACAGACATTGCCTTGTCATTCATAATTATTTCAAGACTTGCCTGATTCACGTAAGACACATATGTGTGAATCTTTTATGAAGTAATAGCAATTCAATGAATCATTCACCAATGCAAGCGTGAACATTATCTTTGAAGTGTGTCAATGTCGGGTGACACAGCAATTACTATTTTCTTTCCACTGTGAACATTTCATTTCTTCTAGCAGGTGTAATCCGCTTGTTGCTTTGCTGCATGGTTTGTTGGCCTGTCCTGTTTGTGTATCCTTGTGCTTTTGCAAGTGTTGCTATTATGTACGTAGGCAGCAGAGTTGTGGAATAACTATGACACCAACTTAGGGGCTGATTGATTTCCATAAGTCTTTTATGGATTAAGTTGTGATTAAGTGAATTAACTGTTTTTTCATGTACTTAGTAAACAGTGGCATCTGGGTAAAATAATCAATTTAAGTTTATTTTTGGATTGTCTCCTACTCTCCTCAATGGGAACATATGTTTCATAATGAGTTGAAAAATTAGTTGAATAAACATTTGGTTTGGTTTTTATAAATAGTCAAAAGTGATAAGTTTTTTATCATAAAATAAATGAACCCCTTCATTCATATACAGCTGTACCGAATATATGTCGAATAGGCGGGTTGGGACCAGCCTGGTTTCTATCCTGGTGAGCAATGTTCCTTTGGTGTAAAATAGTTTGAGGAACTTTTTAAAGCAAATGCGTACCCCCCTCCCTCCTTTTGACAGGATGATAAAAAACGTCATTCTTGCCAAGGTTGTATGTCTTTTTTCATCCTAATCAAATCTAACCCGTTTGGTCCCCCTTAGAGGCTCTAACCAGGGAGCACGCAAATCCCAAAAAGGGCATAGTTTATCCTCCAATGCATGGTTGTCATTTCTGTTTAGTGTGAAACTTGATATATATATTCTTAAGCACGTCTAATATGACAATGCACGAAATCGGTGTTTTCGCTCGATAACAACCAGATGGATATATGCTGTTAAGGCTACTTTTCATTTTACTATTAAAGCAAATGTAGTATATATGTACATTTGTTCACAGTTCACTTTACACATTTTTGGTATGGGACAACTTTTTTTGAATTTTTTAACACTGGGGTAGTGGATGTGGTGATGGAACTAGGGATGGACCTGGCCAGGTCAGGCTCCGGGCCGGGCTCCGGGCTGAGCCCAAACGGCATTTTTTTTTTAAAAAAATGGGCCCGAAAACAGGTGGGGTTGATACCGGGTCCGGTTCGGGTCGGGCTACCCGGCCGGGTAGCGGGCCGGTTCAGGCCGGGCCCGGGCTAATTAATTTTTTTTTGATTAAATATTAAGTTAACATTAGTTGGACATAAAAAAGTTAAAATATATTTATTTGAAATATGTAGTACAATTAAAAATTGAGAAAAAAATAAAACATAAAATACAATTTTTAATAAATAAGAATCAATCGGAATCTCCGCCATCTTCGGTTGTTTCCTCCATAAAGTGGTGGGTAGGTTCGATGCTCAGTTCTTGAGTTCTACGTTGGGCCTTCAACCAATCGTGGAAGCAAACAAGCGTCTCAAGAGAGTTTGCGCTCAATCTCATTCTATAGTCCTTTAGCACGTTGCTGGCCGCACTAAACTCTTGTTCCATAGCAACTGTTGATACCGGTATTGCTAGCACTTGCTTAGCCATCTTTGATAAGATCGGGCACGCTCTTTCTTTTTCCTTCCACCACTGAAGTACGTCAAAGTCATCACCTTCTTCATACTCAACAGGAAATGTTAGATACAAAGAAAGCTCGTTAATCGAGCTTTGTTCATTAACCGAAGTTGATTTACTTTTTTTCATAAGATTGTCAAATGCAGATTTCAAAATTGATTTTCCTTTATATGAAGAAGATGTCTGTGACGGGGGAGGTGATGTGCTACCATATTGTGCATTAAACTCATTAAATAATTGAGTAAATTACTAACCTCTTGAAGTTCTTGTTTAGGGTCTATGGCCTTGTTACATAGGCAATGGACCAAAAAAAGAAGCATAATAGTAATTTAAACATTTTCCCAAATAATCAAGTCTAAAACTAGGATAAAAAATAAATGCAATACCATATATATGCGGAATATGTGAATAAATTTTTAAAAACTTCTCTTTCATGTAAGAACAAAAATAACTAACGTAATTGGCATCGGAAAATTCACAAAAAGCACCGGTGAGATTAACAGCTTCAACATAAAATTGGTTTGCGGTAGGTTTATAAACATGACTAAAAGTTTGAGTTGCATTATTAAAAAACACCAAAACATTCACAATTTTTTCACAGGTATCGATGTCGGCCGGGTTTATAATATTGTTAGCATATTCTTTTTAAAAAAGCAGGAAAATAGTTTTTAAATCTAATACACATCTTAATTAAGTTATAAGTACTATTCCAACGAATAAACAAATCTTTAGGAACAACACAATATTTGACACGTCTTTCTTTCAAATAATTTCTCCATTTCATCTTAAGTTGATTACTAGCTCAAATAAGTTTAATCCCCCCCTTCACCACCTCCATAGCATCTCTCAACGTCACTAGCTCGTCTTTTACACATAAATTTAAAATATGACATGCACAACGCTGATGAAAAAACCTACGCCAAAACATATTGCATTATAACTTCTTTTTTAATTGTTTTGCGACTATAGTTTCGAAATTGAGGATTTAAAGTACCTTGAGCATATTCTTTTAAAGCAAGATTTTCTGAAAAAATAAAAGACAAATTTTCTTCAACAATTAAATGAGACATACCAGTCAAATGTTTTTTATCATCATAGGAGAAATTACCGAAGGGTTGGCCAATTTCAAACCTTGAAATTTGTGTTTGCTTTCCCTTGCCTTTGTCCGATTTTGCATACGCCGCCGGGTGCTTGGCCTTAAGATGCCTTGTGGCGCTCCCGTACCCTCCAGAAATTCCCAAGTTACACACTTTTAGGCAATGCTTGCAAGTGGCGTACCATATCTCAGTTTCGGGGTCTTTGACTTTTGTAAAATTGGCCTTAAAGACAGATTCAACTTTCTCACCGCCTTGGGAAGAACTAGCCACTTCCGCTTGCTCTTCCTCATCCTCTGGTGTGCCATGAACCTCGTCCTCGACCGTTTGCGGATCCCCCTCCTCCGCATCATCATCCTCGAGCTCTTCTTCGTCAATGGTTTGCGGGATGTCTTGTTGATGGAAAAAGCGCCCTTGATGTTGTTGCAATAGTTGTTCTACTTGCTCATCGGACATCACATTCTCATATCTTTGGTTGTAATCCGCATCAAAATCATCTCGGGTTTGAGATGAAGACCCGGCCCGTTCCTTACCTTTGCGTGAGCTTGGATGATTCCTCACAATCTCCTTTGTTCAGTTGCGGCGAAGGTTACCCATATCTACAGAAGATCTACCACGTTCCATCTTAAAAATATAACAAATATTAAATTCGAAGTACAATTAAACTAGTTAATTTGAAATACAAATCTAACAATTCGAAATACAATTAAATTCGAACTATGCAACTACAATGTAATAAAATTAACTAGAATGTAACAATTAAATTCGAACTATGCAACTACAATTTTAAACTACAATTAAAAATAAAAAAATGTAACAATGCAACTGATTAACTAGTAAGTAATAAAATTCGAACTATTTGTTAACAAATAATAAATAAATAAAAATTTAACAAGTTTAACTACTTTTATTATAAAATTCGAACAACTTTAATATAATTAACAATTAACTAGTTTTATAAGAGAATACGAAATGTAACAATTAACTAGTTTTATAGGAGAATAATAAATGTAACAATTAACTAGTTTTATAGGAGAATAAGAAATGTAACAATTAACTAGTTTTATAGGAGATTAAGAAATGTAACAATTAACTAGGTTTATAGGAGAATAAGAAATGTAACAATTAACTAGTTTAACAATTAAACAATTAATTTCGAATTATTGTCTAACAATTTTAAATGTAACTATTTCCAATAAACTAACAACTAACAATTAACTACTTTTATAGCAATGAACTAATACTAAAATGTTAAGTGAAACAATTAACTAGTTTTATATTAATAAAGAATGTATGAGTGTGTAAACTAAATTAATGGGAGTGTGAGAGTGTATAAACAATTGGATAAGTAGATAATAAGTGTATAAGTAGATATACTTAATATATATATATATTTATATGTAGATTAACTAGTAATATATAATATTATGTTTATAGTATATATAATATAAGTATATTACTATAAGATGAGTAATACACTTATATATAATACTTTAATATATATATAAGTATATATTAAGTATATGTAATATGTAAATATAAGTAAATAACAATAATATAATAATTGGATATTAATATAAGTAGATAATAAGTAGATAATAAATTTTATAAATATAATATATGTAGTTATAAATTTGAGAAGATGAAGATGGAGAAGATTAGTAGAGAATAGAGATTAGAGAGTAGGAATATTTGGAGAAGATGTGTAGTAAATTGTATAGAAAAAATGGAGTATTTATAGATTTTTTGTACCCCACCCCACCCCAACCCACCCCGGGACCCCTAGGGAGCCTCCCAACGGCTATAGAGCCGTTTGGGTTTGAATGCAACGGTCTTAAGGCCTTGTTCGGATGGAAAAGATTTTTTTTTTAAAAAAATAGCCGTTAGGCCTGGACCGGGCCCGAACCGGCCGGGTCGGTTCACATTTTTAATGATCTGTGCCCGAACCGTCCTACCCGATTGGGCCGGTTCAAAGCCCGAACCGCCCAACCATCACCCGGGCCGGGCCGGGCCCGCACAGTAGCGGGCCAGGCTGGTTCCGGGCCGGACCAAACCGGTTGGGTCCATCCCTAGATGGAACTTTGGTGGGTAGGTGCACGGAGTGATAAGTGGAACTCCTCTCCCCCAAAGTATTTTTGGGGGTTTGAGGGAGAGGGAAGAGAATATTTAGAAGGTTAGTCGTGAGATGGGAAGGGGAGGAAGGGGAGGGGAAGTGAAAGAAATCATTGTTTTTGTTTGGGAGTTAGAAATTTGGAAAGAGATCATCATCATCATTACCCCATTGCCGCAAAGGCTCCCACGTACGGTGGGGTAAGAGGAGGGTCGAATGTAAACAATCTTACCTCTGTAGTGAAGCACAAAGAGACTATCTTCGGATGATCCATACTGAAAATCGCGTTCAAAATTGCATGGACGGACTGCAACTTCATAACAAAGAAGCGCAAATAATTTAGCGAACCATTTTGCTTTATTCCACCATATTTTCAAGCCAAAAAATAGTGAGTGTTTGGCTCGATTGAAAATGATGGAAGTATAAATTTGGAAAGAGATGAACTACAAAAATTATAATTAAAATCGTTTAAGACATTGAACTTGTATTCATGTTAAATCGCTAACATTATCATTTAATTTATTATCCTTCAAAAACCTCTAAATTGGGGAATTTTAAAAATTGAGCATTTGAGGGATTTTGATTGTACGTCTCACCCTTTTCTTATTTATAGGAGAATTTCCCTCCTCCCCCTTCATTAATTGGAGCTCTTGTACAATGTAAAAATGGTGAGAAATTATC